TTGCTTACTATGCTCCAGAGGAAAAGATGAAAATGTTGAGGGGGCCAAAAGGAAAAGAAAACAGGTAAAAACCCACTCTAAATGATGGACGTTAACATTCTCTTAATTGCAGGACACCAACTAAGGACTAATGGTGATTTGGGAGAGAGAAAATATTCTCTTTTCTTTTTGTTTTTTAAGAGATAAGGTACTTTTCACCTTGTTCAGAGTGAGAGGAAACCTAGGCATTTTCCAGGTAGACATAGGCCCTAATATCTACCTGATGGTTATGGCACCACAGACACCTCCCGTGGTATAGGCACACACTTCCAACAGAAAACCACAGGTTCCCCCTTATCACAGCAGTGACACCCATTCCCCTCCCCCTCACCCCGCCCCAGGCATCAATGCTTTTTAAACACAAATTCTGCTAAAAAGACTTCAGAAAATTCACTATTTTCTGTGCCTAAATGCTGAAATTTTATAGAACTCATCTCAGTTTTATCTTTTATTTACAAAGCAACTTGACATGAGTCAGATAAAGAATCACACATTTCTGAACATTTAGGTGAAAACCCCCCTTTATCCTCATCCTGGTTTACCTTTGATGCAATTGAATGTTATAAGACTAACCAAGTTTTCATGGGGGGGGGGGGCTGTAGGGGAGGGGACAGCTTCGCAGCCCTGAGATACCTATAAATATCAGTAATGATACTTGTGTTGCCTCTATCACCCCTCCTCCTCCTTGGACCTGAAGAGCCACTAGAAATTAATGTGATACTCAAATAAAAAAAAACACATTTTCAGCAACAGACCTACAGTAGTCTCCAAAGTAAGCCTTGTGTTGTATTTCCTCCTTGTCCTCAATCACAGTGTTGAGTGCCTTTTTTGAGAAAAATTGAAGTGACGGGTGGTCTAAACTATGGCCAGGTCCTACCTCTGCCAATTTCTAGTAAACTGGACCGGCTAGAGAAAATAAAGAAACCACCTTACATTAAGTAGTGGCGATCATAAATACTTGTATACAAGTTCTCAATAGAAGTCCTTGTTAATGTTCAGTTATGGGGGTGACCACTGGGTCCTTCAAAAAGATAGCCTCTTAAGTCTCTAACTCTATTAACTATCACCAGAGGCATCCAATCTCCTTGAGCTTAATGTTTTACTGATAAAATGAAGGCTGCATCTCTAAAGCAAACTTGCCTAGACATTCTAGGGCTAAGAATCCCTCTGGGAGTTTGATGAAAACATGATCTCCCCCTATAATGACCCAACAGCAAGCTCAGGGCTCGCAACATACAATTGCATATGATCTTTGAGGGGTTTAAGGAACTTCTGAGGCCCACCCATGAAGCTCAATTAAATCCAAAAACCTTTTCTGCCTTGGATTCTTTAAAGACAGCCCCTTAATTTCCTTCCTTTTCTAAATGTTCCAAATAATGGTCATTTGGATTCAGTATCTCAGTGTTTTTCATTCAACAAATTATCATGACATTAAAAGACATCACTGCGAACAGCATCTGCAGTAGCTTATACAGAGGCTGGCACATAGTTTAAGTGCTCAGTATTTGTTAAATCAATCAGTATTTAAAAACATCCTATTATATTTACATACAAGGCATATAAGCCAAATTCCCTTAAGTTCAGGCATTTCAAGAAACTTTTTTAAAAGATATTCCCCCCCCAACCAAAATGTTAATACAAGTCATTTATAAATTAACAATTAACTAAAATATCTTGTCTTTCTTACAGAAGTCAAAGTCTTTGTTGTCATTTCTTATTACTTAGCTCAATTTAACACTTTGATATGTTATAAAATATTTCAAATCTAAAGTTGGGAACAACAAAGTATACTTAAAATTTCTAGCTTTATCCTTTTTCCTTTCAGGAAAAAAAAAATACTGACCATGTTTCCACTGTTTTTAGACTTTTCTTTTTTGGGGTTTTACATTAAAACTCATTTGTGTTCCTAAACCTTAAACTAGCAAATGGAACAATCTGTCACTTAAAAAAAAAAAAAATTTTTCACACTCACAGAGATAATCATCCATGCATACCCATACTCCCTCTGGGTCTACCCTAGGTTCTTGATTTTTACACTTGATATAAATTGTATATTTGCTCAATATGGAAAAAAAGGGAAGGGGTAAGGAAAAAGTAAGGTGATATACCAACCTAGAATTTTTCAGAATTCTATAGTCTTATTTATGGCAAACAGTCTCCGCTTGACCCAAGGACCCCAAAGATTTCTAGAGACCCCAAAATCTTTTGGGAGTCTCTGAGGGGAGATTTTCTTCCTATATTTCAACCAAAACAATGTACAGCAATAGACAATGCATAAGCTAATGAAAATTTGATTATCCTCTCTGAAGTCCAGCATTAACAATTGGCTAACATGCAAAATAAAATCACTCTTCCAATTGCACCTTTTTGCTTTCAAGTTATTTTTTATTCCTATTTCTTGTGTTAACATCAAGTAGCTATCTGCTTGAGTGATTTAGTTTCTTCTGTCTAATCCAGAAAAATCTCAAAATATCTACATAACGCATGTTGAGCTCACCAACAATACAGTTTAAGGATGTAAAGATTCTGACACCTATGTGCTGAACACTACCCAGCTGTTCTTAACCAGCTGGAGCAAAACCAAAACAGCAGCATAGAGCAATCAACTGACTTTCTGCCAAGTCAAATGCGACTCCATCATTCAAGCCACTGTATTAAAAAGGTAAGTGCTGTCATATTTTGGCACTAATAATACACATCTCGTTAACCCGCTATCTCTCATATTCGTTCTCACACTAAGTCTGAAGTGCTGTTTTAATTCACATAACTGCAGCACAATCCCACTCATGGACCGTGAACAAATTAAATCTTTCAGTTACAATCGGGGCAGATTTCTGATTTTATTTTGTCATGATCATCACCACCAAGTTTTTCTGCTGTATTAGGCACAGGCACACACACACACACACACACACACACACATACACACACACAAAGACACACATTCTGCAAATACTCACTGAAATTAAGACTTGCCAAAAACTTAATGTGAAAAAGGAAACACAAAGTAACATTTTGTATTACTGGGTTGTCAGAAAAGTCATGAGGCATTTTTGCTTGAAAAACAGAAAGAAAAAAAAGTCACAACTTTTCCAACAACCCAGTATTTTATAAACTGGTTTATGCAATGGGCCAACATTTTGACTTGAGTTCAAATGACTGCTAACTCAACATGTGGCTTTAAAACAACTCTAAGCTGCCTAAAAGCTAACAAGCATTTTGTACCTCTTTAAAGAGACCACTCATCATCTCTCTTCAGCCACCTTCACTTCCCTGCGCTTTTATTTTCAGCCAAGAATACAAATAGGTTAACCGACACTCAGAAAGAGAGACACGTAGAGATGTAGAAACGCCTCTACTAGCTGGAACACAGGCCTCTCTCCTCACTCTGGTAACTGGCTCTTCACAGAGGTGCTACCAAGGTCCCCTTCGACTGTCTAGAACTGGAAGTTTCTAGTCTTAATACCTCCCTGCATTTTTGTTGTTTTTCTTCAATGCTTTGAGAAAGGGCTTGTGATCAGTGCCTCTGTATCTCGAACTACAGAAACATCTCCCACACCATCTGACAGATAGAAAGCAGCCAATTACAGTGATTTAAGGAACAACAGTAATAGAACAAAATGTCAAAAGTCACATCCCAAACTAAACTAAGTTCAATAAATGAAAACACACCACAGACTAAAAGACCTGGGCATTTCTAATCACTTTGTGCCATCTCTGTTCTCTGGTCTAGAATTAGGGTTTTTAACTTGACACTATTCAGTGAACTTGGCAGGAAAGATGGTAATCTACAGGGACAGTGAAACAGCAACACATAAAGGTCACCCCCATAAATCAAAGTCAGTTTATTGAAGGCTGTACTTGAGAGTAGGATATTTGATCCCTAGCTCTAATTTTTCCTATTCCCTTCCCCTTCCAACATTTTCAAGAGAGAACTTAAAACACAAAAACTTTTAAATTCGCTGTCCATCCTTCACCAACACCCATCCCCCCAATACATCCTGCACTATAAAGTATTGTGGAAAACACAATTTTAAAAATAGCTACTATTTTACATAGGCGGTTAAACACACACACACACACACACACACACACACACACACACACACTGAACATCTCAACCTGAAAAGCTTTATCAAAATCATAACCAAAAAATTTCAAAATGATTTAAAAGGTCAGTATCCCATTTTTGTTTAACCAAAGGGAGGGATGGAAGCAAACTATAGGCTATCCTCATAGGAAAGGGGTAATTTCTCACTCCATTTGGTCCACAATATTTGAGAAACGAAATTTCAGGCACGTCTTCCCACAGCTCAGGTCCTGTACAGATCCCACATGCATTATTTAAAATGGGTAAGACTTAGGCTGGTGAGGGAAACATGGTAAGAACAGAGCCCAGGCCACCAAATTTCCCTTCTGAGAGTTCACTCTGACGCTGTTCTTCAGTCTAAACTTTAAAGTTCAAGTTCACCCTCCAAGGACAATTATGAAAAGAAATGGATGTGGAAGCCTAGCAGAGGCTTCCACAGAAGCGTTTGCAGAGGATAATGAACGGTTTAGGTAGAAATAACACATTACTAAGCAATTTCACACTTGGAATGTGACCCCTTGCCTATAAAACTGATTTAAAGGTAAAAATGAGGACTCTTTTATACTAGACAGCCAGGACTTGGGATGCATTGATAAACATATTTTTTAAGTGGGCCTGGGGCACACAGACACCAAGGTGTATGTCTTTGTGAGTAATCATACCAAATAGCTTTGCCTCTCATCTAATAGTTTATAGAACAGACAGGAGGAGGAAAAAATACCAGGAAGAAATGTTCCTATTTTAAAAAAAGAAAAGCCCAGGTCACTGAGAGATGGGGACTGCGTGTCCGAGCCTGCGGTCTGGAAGGTGGCCTGGGGCGCAGGGTTGGGGGGCGCATGTGTTCACGTGCAGCTGGTGTTCGAGTACTTACCGTGCCCGGTTCTCTGTCTGCTCCCGAGGTTACCAAGAAACGCACAGACATGCCAGTTCAGACACAGAGGCAAGAACAGAAATAAAAAAAAGGGGGGAATAATTAGAACACAAGCCCCAAACAGTTTTAAAAATGGCTTTTATTTATATAAGTCATTGCACATTCCTAATACAGTGATTTCCTGAAAATTACAGTATTTTGTAAACATAAGATTTACAGTTTAACCATACACAAAGCCTATTTTTTTATTTCTTGACAGAATAAATTACTTTTCTTCAAAAAATTAGTCAAGTGCAATTTTGCCCAATATTTAATGCATACTAGAATTAAAGCCTATGAAACTAAGTAGTAACAGATGCAATTATCAAACCTTTCATTTGAACACATTCACTTTCAAATTTAACTTCTTATTTCGCCCCATTTAACAACATTACTTTCTTTGAAAATTACCCAATTAAGCAGTTAACAGTTTTCCATAATATGGTACAGGCCACTGGCATTAACTAGGCAGCTGCCAGGATGTCAAGATGCCTGCAATCTAAAGAGATCGAGGAATCTACAGATGCCCACATTAAACCCTGGAAACTTCCAGGGTGAACTGTGTTTCAGTGGCCAAGCTTTGCGACAGTTCCTCTTAGCTCATTGTTTGCTCTGTTTGGGTTGGGGCTTTCTTTAGCGGTGCACACAAGTTTGCAGCACTGTATGAACATTAGGACAAAGTCCTAATCTGGCTTGCCCGGCCTCTCACCTCTGTGGTGTTCTGCATCGTGGTGCTTCTTGTCATCTTTTATTGCCAAGTGAGACTGCCCACTCAGAGCACTGGACAGTGCCAGGAGGCCGGCACTGCCCCCGAGGGGTGGGATTCCAGGAGGCTGAAGTCCCGAAGGGTGAGGCGTGAGGGGAACTGGGGGTCCATGGCCATGAGAAAGATGCTGAGCTTGCAGCTGCTGCTGCTGTTGGCGGTGGTGGTGAGAGGAGGAAGAAAAGAGGGAGGTAGCAGAGTGGTGGTGATGGAGGTGACGGAAGCGGCATCCGGGGAGAAAAGACGTGACATGACATGACAGGATGGAGGAAACAGAACGGGGGGTTCAAAACACACACACACACACACACACACACACACACACACACACACCAAGAACAAAGAGAGACAGAGGGAGGAAAGGGGAAAAATGTGATTAGCGTTTTCAGTTCATCAAAAGCTTTCACTTACTCAGCTACCTCCCCCCATCTCCCCAAATGCAGTCCTCAGCTCTGCACTGTCGTTTTTTGTGTTATTAATGAGCCTGGTGAAGTTAGCAAGTACTCGCACCGCATGTTACTTCGTTCTCTATGCGCCTCCAGGGAGGAAATCCAGTAAACTTACCCTGATTTCAGAAAGACGGAAACAGGGAAGGCTCGGGAGTGCATTGTGTACAGCACAAGCACAGCAACTACACTGCGCGGAGTGAGCGGCGAGATGTCGCCACTTCATTCTGATGTTTCTGCCTTACCTCGCCACAGTGGTAGGAGACAAAAGCAAAATCGCGTCTTTTTAACAGAACTCAGAAAAGTGAACGAGCATCTCATAGGCCTCTGCCACCCTTCACCCCAGGCGCCTGTGTCTGTCCTTATTTCATCCAGCCCTCACTGAGCTGTGAGAAGTACTGGCAGTCCCCTTGCGCAGAAGGAGCCACGGCTCAAAGGAAAGGACAGGTGTGACAGTGGAGGGGCTGAGGGTAGTGGTCTGCAACGGACACGAAAGCAGCCTTGCTGTGGTAGATGAAGACTCCCCAGCGATGACGTTGTGCTTACTTGCTTACCCATTCCTCTCTCCTGAGCTACTTGCCCAAAGCCACCCCACTCCTGTCACAGAGGAAAACAGCAAGACTCAGAGAAGGCAAGACCCCCGTGGCAGGGCAACCATGGCAACCCAAGTCTCTGCTCCCAAACACCTTCGCCTCTGTGCTTAACCCACTTCAGAAGGTATAAATCTGTTCACGCTGAAAAGCACTGTTGCCGGCATATATCCTGAGGAGGAGCGTGATGTATGAAATGAAAAGGTACCGAAGAAATGAGCCCTGCACTACTGGTCCTGCCGCAGTCCAGCTGTCCAAAATAAAACCTGTTTTTGACGAGACAGTAAAAACAACGAAAGCTCAGCTTCTAAGGTGGAGCGGTAAAAAATTCTTAAGATTCAGATTTATGCTCACTGTCCTGGGACACAGTCACTCATGCATTTATTATCCCCTTGGGTGTACTGAGCATACCTTATCTCCCCACTAGATCCTGAGTAATTTCTACCTGACCACTGATCTTTAATTGAATCTGAAACGTGGTTCTCACCCTCATCAAGAGAAAACAGCATCTTTCATCCAGAAATTGATTTCTACAGTCATTTTATAGTAAATTTTCATCCACTTGTAACATCTTTAGAGAAGTCCTTATGTGCTAAAGCCTTGCCTCAACCCCCGCCCCTCCCCAAAGAGAGCAGAGTCCGGGCCGCGGGAGGCCAGAGGGCACGGTCTGCGCAGGTGGCGCTAGCAGTATTCCTGGAACGTACCGAAAAACTATGCACTCACCACCTGAGATCATAACAATTTCTTTACTCATAAAATCACCTTCCTGTCAACCCAAAGACACTAATTCTTGCTCTGTCACCTTTTAAGAGCTGGGCAGTAGCAAGACATAAAACTGAGGAAGCTGGCAGAGGCAGCACGGTCCACTAAGCATGCTCATTAGCACTTAATTAGGAACTAGACACCTGCCATAAGAAATGTGCTGGGAGAAGGATGAGGAACAGGTCTGCCCCACCGGCAATTACTATCATTACGCGGAGAGTAGGAGCTGTGTCCGGCTGCTGGGAAAGCCAGCGATGCGTGCACAAGCACGCGCAGCAGGGCCATTAAGCGCGGCACTGATTAAAGGAAGATGAGAAGGGCTAAGCAGAGGGGAAGGGATTTAACTACAGGGTGGAGGACACTACCCCTTGTCCCTCCCTGCCTGCTCCAAACTCCCAAAATTCAGAATGTCTACCAAAAGATGATTTCAGAGGTGGGATTTTAAGTGAAAGCAACGGCATACTCGGGTAATATTTGGATACAAAAGGAGGCGGTGGAGATTTTCCACTAAACCGGAGTTTGTTTTTTAGAGATGAACTGGAAAGCATTCCCTAATATGTTATTGAAAGGGAAGATTGACTTATATAATAAAGGGGAGCTTTGTCACAGCTGTGCGCTAGACCCACATGGTTAAACCCCACATTTAGGCTAATAACTATCAACAGGGGTATCCAGCAGCCTAAGTGCCGTGGGCAACGCCCCCTCACACCCCCTGCTCTGACTTTATAGGCCCTTTGGAGAAACAGCTCTCTGTCTGTGACTAGAGACAGTTGGATTCTTCCATCCTTAGCTGTCATCTTGAAAGACACAACTTTTTTTAAAAGCAAAATGCTATCCAACAGAAAGGAGCACTGGGTGGGAGGAGGGCGGTTCACAGCTGTTGAGGACCATGCAAATTAGCCAACGGAGTCTGCTGCTTGACATTCTTCTCCCTTATCCTGCCACTCCAAGCTCTCAGGTGCTTTCACACCCTTTATCTGGCCTCAACTCAGAGGACATCTGAGCAGGGAGGGGGCATCAGGCCTTCTGTTTCACAGATGAGAGGACGGACGCCAAACCTCTGGGCCCCTAGATGAGCATTATTTCCCGTTGGGTCCCTGAAAACAGGGCCCCAGCCACCCAGGCATGTTCACAGGATGTTACAGATGGGAGTGCTCCTGAGTATGGGGAAGCAGGAAAGCCATTCACCCAAGCCCCACCCCCCACCCCCCATTTCTCTTCCTCCACAGGTAGCATGATACTCTGGAGGGTCTGCAATATGTACACCCACCTTCTCCCACTGGACAATTTCCCTAGAGAAGCCCACCTTCAGCGTGCCATCTTTCTGGCAGTGGCAAAAAGGAATTTGCTCTTAGGTTTAGGGCTCAGGATGCTCCCAACCAGCCTCCACTTCCCAACACAGTGACCCTTCATCTGAGCCAGGCGGCGCTCTGTCACACCAGTGCTCTTCCACAGAAGACTGTGGAGAACGCTCAAGTCTGAACAGGTAACTCTGGCTACTCTGGGGGGGGGGGGGGAAGAGGGGGAAGTGTTTATCAAGAAGTATTAGTTCGGGCCCTCTCTGCTGGTGCAACAGGTTAAAGCACAGTGCTATGAAGCTATCCGTAGCCACTGCAGCATGAGTTTGATCTCCACAGAGCACAGCAGACCTCTCCTGTTTCACCCGCTGCTCCCCTCCAGTGTACTTCATCAATCTGCCTGTTCTGCTCCCCACTCTGTCCCTGGTGAATCTTCTCACCCCCTGTGCTTCTCTGGCCTGTACTCGAGTTCTTGTAGGCATAAATAAATCAATCTTTTAAAAAGAAAGAAGAATTGGTTCAACATTATTTATTGAAATGAAAAGAGGGCCTACGTCCAGAGAGTGAAACACTCAACGCCAAAAGGGCAGCACACCTGCCCCACGTGGCCTTGGAAGGACATTTTCTCTCAACAAGGCTAACCTGAGACAAGATAGCACCTTCACCTGTCACCTTTACTAAAAGAAGAAATTATTTTGCAACAAGTGATACTCATATTGCTACACAGCAAAACTTGAGGCCTTCCAACACCCCCCACCTGCTCCGGACTTCACCAAAGAAAGGTCTTGTCTGGGTCCACACATCTCATTGGGACCCAGTGACTGTTTTGTAGTGTGTGAGCAAGGGTTGGAAATCCAACTCCTTCTCATCTCACTTATTAGTTTATACTACTTAGTAAACATTTTAAAGGTAATACAGCACCTAACAAGCAAAAGAGTTTTTTATTATTATTCAGCTATCAGAAAAGGTATTTATAATGGGGTTTTTAAGCAATACAGCTGGCTTTTCAGGCTACTGATCTACATGCATGATTCTCAAACCATGACGACAAACCCCCACTTCCCACCCAGGAGCTCTCGGCAGGATCTGAGGCTATTTATGGCTCTCACAGTTGGCAGATAGAGGGGCTCAGAAGTGAAGACTATTCCCACCACTATCAGCAAGTGGATTGAGGCCAGAGATGTTGTTAACTAATCTACAAAACTCAAGGTGGCCTCCCACCTCAGAACTATAGGAGCCAAAATGCCAACAGTGCTGAGCTTATGAAATGTTGGCCTACAACTAAACTGTTATTCTATCCCATTATATTAGAAGTCACATTTTTTAATACCCAACGTTGCCAAATTATTGTGCACAACATAAAGACTCTGCAACATTCAAATGTTCACTGTCCCTTCATCACCATTAAGTACACCTGGTCATCACTCAAAAAAGTGAGCATCTAATTTCCTGAGTTGACTACCCTAACAATTTCAAAATAAAACATGAAAATTTCCTGTCTTACCTTAAGACCAAATGAGTGGTATCAGAAGGGAAGAAGGAAAAGGATGTGTAAATCAGCCAGAAGTGCCAGCTGCATTGTGATGAGTAGAACTGTACTTTTAGTGGAGAATTTAATGTGATTCAGCTAGCAATGACAAATGATGCACACAGTAGACTTATACAAGTGATAATCCAATGTTACTGCCATTAAAAGTTATTTTTTAAAAACTACCTATTTTATAAAACAAATGGGGAAAAGTTACACCAGGATGTTAAAGCATATTGGTGTTCTGGTGTCTCAAGTGGGATTACAAGAAGGTTTCAGTGAAGGGATAAGGACATAAATGCATTTACTCTTACCCAAACAATTTGAATAGGCTGGGAGTGAGACAAGAAAAACAAACACCAAACCCTCAGTTAATGATACCGAAAACCCACAAGGAATAAAGTAACCTCATCCATGGCAAACAACAGCAACCCATTTAGAATTTTAATTCACATATTACCTACTGCAGTTTGGGCCAATTATGTTACTCTAATGAAACTGACTTAGCTGTTTACATTGGGAGCTTT